CTGAGTCGTGCGTGACCACAGCTTACCTCTGAGCATCATATCTGACCGTGACCCGCGCTTTACCAGCCGATTCTGGCGACGGCTCCACGAGGTATACGGCACTCAGCTCCGCTTCTCCTCGTCTTACCATCCTCAGACTGATGGTCAGACCGAGATCACGAACAGGACTCTGGGAGAAATTCTTCGAAAGATTGTTCGTGACGACCAGCAGTGGGATCTTCATCTTGCGCGCGCGGAGATAGCCTACAACCATGCCGTCTCGCCAGCCACGGGGATGTCGCCTTACTATTGCGACCTCAGCTATCACCCTCGTGTTCCCGCGGACTTCCTTCGACCGTCCCAGATGCACCCTGACACGAGCTGTCCCGCGCTGGATGATTGGGTTGCACACATGAAATCGATTATGAAGACCGCACATGAATACATAGCCGCTTCCCAGACTCGCATGGCAGCACGTGCGAACCGATCAAGAATGGATCATCCATTCAAAGTCGGTAATGATGTGCTTATCGACGCCCGCCACTTACAACTCGAAGCGGACACGCTTCGCAAGTTTCGGCGTCGCTTCTTTGGCCCATGCCACTTCCTCCAGGTCGTCGGTTGTGATACGGCATCTAGCCCGGTCAGCTTTCTTGTGAAGCTTGATGACCTATGCCAGGCTCGTGTGCATGATGTCTACCACGTCTCGTTATTGCGTCCTTACCGCAAACCGTCTGAGCGTTTCGCTGAACGACCTTACGAGCGCCCTCCACCCTTCATGGTGGACGGTCACGAGGAGTTCCTCGTTTCAGACATCATTGGTCGCCGAGTCACCGACGACAACCCTCCCCACGTCGAGTATCTCGTACGTTGGAAGGGTTACCTTGATGAGGAGGCTACGTGGGAGCCTCTCGAGCACTTGCAGCACGCTCGCATGTTGGTGCGTGCCTATGACCGTGCTCGTCGTGCTGGGTTCACTGCTCCTCCTCAGCCCTCTAACCCTCCTCCTTCTCCTCCGGCTGAGGAGCCCGCTGAAGTCGAGCCTGCTCCATCTGAGGCAGACCTTCAGCAGCATTCAGATGCTTCTGAGCGTCCACAGCGCACTCGTCGTCGCCCTGCGCGATACGACGATTGACCCTGACTTACCTTCCCACGTCTTCGACTTCTCAGTACTCCATCCACATCAGTTTTGCTACTTCAGCTCGTCGACGCTGCGGCTCTTCCTCGACGGCATTTTGGACTTCTCATCGTGGACGTCATCGGCAGCTTCATGGACTTCATCACGATCAGCTCTGCCCACTTCAGACGTCACCACTCTCTTACCACTCTACCCTGTACAGTACCTTGCTTGTGTCGCATGAGTCATTTGCATGATTCCCTCACCCATCATCTTTCTACCCTTCGCCGGCCCTCACGCCCTAGTTAGGCAGCCCCGCATGCTTCATCTAGGTGCGCCCAGTATACCAGGCTCCCTTGTTCCTTTTCATGGTCGACCCTCCATAGCTGTCACCCCTTAATGGACCATTACCCGCCCTGATGGTCTATCTGTTAGGGTCATTGGTTCTGTTCGCTCTCAGTTCCCTACCCTCATTGAGCTTGATGACATGTGTCTCCCTGTTATCTATGTGTGGATGCCCTTAGGAGTTTTTGACCCCTAGGCTGCATTCGCCACCCTCAGAGACCATCCCACCCTTTGGTTTGCGACACACTTCTCATGTGACATATGATAGACTTGTTGTTGCTTTGTTGCTCACAGACTGAGGCTACTGCCTCTGACATTTCTAGGATTTAGTTGTTCTGCTTTTGTTGTTCGTAGGACTTATACACTAGTCAGTTGTTACCAGACTGAGGCTAGTGCCTCCAACATTCTAGGATTTAGTTGTCACTACTTTCTGCTTTCCTAGTACATGTATGCTAGTTAGTTGCTTTTGCTTTCCTAGGACATGTATGTTAGTTGCTTCTGCTTTCACTTAGGCTGTTAGCTGTGACATTGCTGTTTTGTGACATTTTATATTCTAGGTTGCATCGCATGGACTCAGCATGGAGCTCGCTCCCCATCCTAGACTACTCAGGTTTTCTTTTCTTTGGTAGAGTTCCGCTTCTTGGCGGAAGCATGTTTGTATCTAGGCGATCCATCACAGGCCGAGGATCGTGTAGCGGACCTCGGGTTGGCTTGTTCTCACAGGCCTGTGTTGTATTCGGGGTAGGCCAGTCCAGGCCAGTACCTTTGTCGGTACCAGCCAGTCCAGTCCAGTCCCGTCAGTCCGCTGGGGTATACCCCAGCCATTGTCTGTTTTCACCCTCATTCTTCACTTGCACATTTTTGGAGTACGTGCGTTGGAGTCCCACGTGGGAGCTGCGCTGTGCGTCATCTTGCTCCCCCCTTCTTCCTCCATCTCCATCTCTACCACTAGCAGAGCACCACACCTGGTGGGTCCGCTACACCGGAGGCGCAAAACGAAAACGACGAATACAGGGCCGCCGATCGAATTTATCATCGGCGGGCCCAGTGTTTGACATTTCCGCCTTGTTTTCTTGTGGCGACAAGTTTCGGACTGCAAGGCTGGGGCTGTGTACTTGTGGTTTAAATCAACAGTACTTCCGAGCCGCTTTTTTTGCCGGAGGGCTCCAAACACACTCTTCAGGCCAAAGAACACACGAATCAGTGTGGGCCTTGTTTTGGCTGGTGCCGCAAGGCATTTCGCTCCGGCTGCTGACCCCGGAAAGTTGTGGCAGCGTACAAGGCGTGTTGGAGAAAAATGGCTGGGAAACGTACTGGTGCCTCAAAACAACCAGTCTGTCTCCCTATCCCCTTGTCACAATGTGGTGGTTAACGGGCCCCAAAATTGTGGCTTGGGCGTAGCAGATGGAAAGAATGGTGCAACACCTGGCAATTCGATGCCCATGGCAGTTTGTTCTTTTTAGCGTTGGGCAGCATGACGCATTGGAGAAAAGAGGCCTCCTACGGACTGGCTGGTTTGTACAATGTCACTCCCTCCTCACTGGGGCTTTGTATTGTCAATGCATTGGCTGTTTAGGTGTTTTGGTTCGTCATCGGGAGTGAAATTTGTTGATGAAAGTGAGTCGAGGAGATGAAATTCGACGAAGTACGCGCTTGTTTGGTTCTGCTTCCGAAGTTAAATACCTCCGATGATAGTGAGGCAATCAGCCCAAATTTGACATTGATCAACCGCCATGTATCTTGACTATCTTCCAGCGAAGACGATCGATCTTGTCTACCTTCCAGCGAAGACTATGGATCATACATGCGGCGCATCACGATGCGCTGTACTGCGCACGTGCGCCGCACCGAGCATCCCGCACGACGTGCGCGCACTGCATGCGGCGCACCTTCAAAAATGGGGGTCGAAAAAAAAAAAAGGAACTTGTGAGGGGCGGCAGTAGACCCAGCCCCCTGCTCGCACGAAATAAGAAACGGGTAGCCAAATTTTTTTTGGAGGCCGCGCATTGGCCTGAAAGCTTGTAGTAACCTGCAGTCCGCGGAACACTCTGTGTGCACGGTAGGGTTCTTGCAGTCTGTAGGCTAGGTTCTTGCAGGCCAGATTCAGTCATGATGACGGTCGCGATCGCCCAAAACGTTGTCTTCTTATTACTTTTGAAGTAGAAACGACGGAACTGACAGCCGTTTTTCCTGGAAGTTTTTTTTTTTTTTAATAAAAGAAAAAAACGAAAGGAAGAAAATCAGAATTTCTCTGCACGAGCGAAGCCCGGCGCGTCCAACCTGTCAGAACCTCAACGGTAGTGTTCACACGGGCTCGCTGCACGACACACACGGAGGATTCAATCGGAAACTCTCTTCTTATGGCAATGTATCTTTCCATGTTCAAGCGGAGGATTCAATCTCATTTGTTCAAAGATTCTCCAAAAAAAAAAAAAAAAAGTTCCACAGATACGTTACGTGCTTACCTGATTCAACAGCGCTATGCTCAACGCGTGAGCAAAATGGGAATGAATCTTCCGCCAGAACATGGAAAGATACACCGCCATATTTTTTGTCCTTTGTGCATGTCGTCCCGCTTCCGGATTCATGTTGGCCGTTGATAAGGGCGGTTTCTTCGGTCCGATAGTGTCAGCACACGGTTCAGAGATTCTCCAAAAAAAAAAAAGAAAGGTTCCAGAGATACGTTACGCGCTTACCTGATTCAACGGCCCTACGCTCTCCACCACCCAACGTATGAGCAAATGGGAATGAATCTTCTGCCAGAACATGGAAAGATACACCGCCATATTTTTTGTCCTTTGTGCATGTCGCCCGGGGGCCAGGTCCCACTAGCAGCGTTGAGTTTCCTCAACGCCTGAATCTGGACGTGTGTGTGGATATGTGCAGAAATCGCGTTGAGTTTTCTCAACCGCACATCTCGACGAACGTGTCCAGATTCAGGCGTTGAGGAAACTCAACGCTGCTAGTGGGACCTGGCCCCCTCTTCCCGATTCATGTTGGCCGTTGACAAGGGTGGTTTCTTTGGTCCGATAGTGTCAGCACACGGTTTCTTCACTCTCTCTCTCTCTCTCTCTCTCTCTCTCTCTCTCTCTCTCTCTCTCTCTCTCTCTCTCTCTCTCTCTCTCTCTCTCTCTCTCTCTCTCT